AAAACATTCAAAAGGAAGTGCTGTATAGTTAGCTCTTAGCAATAATGGATGTCTGCTCTCCAAAGGCTCTTTTAATTGTGAGAAATATCAACGCTAAGCCAGAGTGAGACTGAATAGTCCAACGTCCACACTCCGGAACAACCACTGTTTTGAAATTTCAGTATTTGAACTGGAGAGGCACTGACTAAAGTGTTTAGGTATTTTGGGTTCATGTTTTTAATTAGTACTGGCAAGGCTCTTGTACCTAAAACTTTGGTAAAATTACTCATTATTTCTATTACTTTTATTACTTCTTTTTATAGATTTCTCAGAAATTTTTACATACCTATGTTATCGGTAAATTAAATTTTTTTCTTTCTTTCTAAACATTACCTCTTTTATTTACTTATTTTAGTCTTCTTGTACTGACAAAGATTGCTAGTAAAGTGTTGTGTTGAAGTGGGAAAAACAGATATCCTTGTCCTGGTTCTGATCTTAGGGAGAAATAGTCAGTATTTCATCATTTAATATGATGTAATCTGTAGATACTTCAAGAATGGTCTTTATCACGTAGGGGAACAATACTTATTTTTCTAGTTTGCTGAGAATTTGTGTTATGAATGGATGATTAACATTGTCAAATGCATTTTAAACCCATTGAAAAAACTATTCTGTTAATTATTAAATTGCAGTAATTGATTTTCAAATGTTAAATCAACTTTACATTCTTGAGATAAAGCATACTTGGTCATGATATATAAACCATCCTTTTTATAACTAGATTTCATATAATAATATTTTATTAGTATTTTTTCATCTATGTTCATGAGAAATATAGGTCCATAATTTTCTTTTCTTAATACTGTCTTTGGCAAGTTTTTGATCAGGATAATTCTGGTCTTGTACAATGGAGTGAAAAATGCCCCCTCCTATTTTTTTCTGAAAGAATTTATGAAAGATTGTTGTTATTTTTCCTTAAATGTTTGTTGGCATTCACTAATGAAACCATATGGTTGTGAAGATTTTTTTAAGTGTTTAATTATGAATTCAATTTTTTTAATTCAGATTTTCTATTTTCTATTAGGTCAGTTTTTATAAATTTTATCTTTCAAGAAATTCACTGATTTCATCTAAGTTATTGTATTATTTGGCATTAGGTTATTCATAATGTTTCCTTATTATCTTTTAAAATACCTTTAATATCTCTAATGATCACCTTCTAGATTTGTGAATTATCTTTATTGTTCATAGGTTTTCTATTCAATAATTTCTCCTCTTTATTGTTTCCTTTCTTCTACTTAATTTGGGTTTAATTTGCTTTTCTTTCATTGGTTTCTTAAGGTGGGAACTTAGAACACAGATTTTAACCCTTCTACTTTTCTAATATAACCATTTAAAGATAAACATTTCTCACTAACCACTGTTTTATTTGCATTTCACAAATTTTGATTTTTTTCTAAGTTATTTTTAGAGAAGTTTAAGGTTCACAACAAAATTGAGAGGAATGAACAGAGGTTTTTCATGTACCTCCTGCCCATCCCCCACATCACCCTCCCCCCCCCCACACACACACATGCATAGTCTCCCCCATTATCAGCATCACTCACATGAATGGCACATTTGTTACCAAGTATGAACCTACATTGAGACATCATAATATCCCAAAGTTCATAGTTTACCTTAGAGTTAATTAACTCTTGGTGGTATACATTCTGTGGGTTTGGACAAATTTATAATGACGTGTATCCGTCATTATAATACCAGAGTATTTTCACTGTCCTAAAAATTCTCTGTGCTTTGCTTATTCATCCTTCCTCCATCCTCAACCCTGGTGAGCACTGATCTTTTTATCTTTTCCTTAGTTTTACTTTTTTCAGAATGCCATATTGTTGTAGTCATATGGTTGGCTTCCAATTGGCTTCTTTCACTTACTGATATGCACTTAACTTTCCTCTATGCCTTTTCATGGCTTGACAGGCTATTTCTTTTTAATGCTGAATCATAGTCCATGTTCTGGATGTGCCAGAATTTATCCATTCAACTACTAAAGATCATCTTGGTTGCTTACAAGTTTGGGCAGTTATGAATAAAGCTTCTGTGAACATCTTTGCAGGTTTTTGTGTAGATATAAGTTTTCAGGTCCTTTGGGTAAATACCAAGGAGCATGATTGCTTGATAAGAGTATGTTTATTTTTATAAGAAGCTGCCAAACTTCCTTCCAAGGTGACTGTTCCATTTTGCATTCTCATCAGCAATGATGAAAGTTCCTGTTGCTCCATATCCTTGCCAGCATTTGATGTTGTCAGTGTTCCAGATTTTGGCCATTGCAATAGGCAGTGAAGTGGTATCTCATTGTTGTTTTAATTTGCATTTACCTGATCACATGTGATGTGGAGCATCTCAACATATCCTTATTTGCCATGTGCATATCCTCTTTAGTGAGGTGTCTGTAGAGGTCTTTGGCCTATGTTTTAAGTGGCTTGTTTGTTTTCTTATTGCTGAGTTTTAAGAATTCTTTGTATATTTTGGACAACAGTCCTTTGTCACATATATCTTTTGCAAATATGTTCTTCCAGTGTGTTTTTTTTCTTCTAATTCCCTTCACATTGTCTTTCTTAGAGTGGATATTTTTAATTTTAAAGAAATCCACCTTATCAATTATTTTTTTCATGGATCATATCTTGGATTTTGTACCTAAAAACCGAAAGTCATTTCCAAGGTCATCTAGGTTTTCTCCTATGTTATCTTCTAGGATTTTAATAACCTTTTGTTTGACATTTAGGTCTATGATAAATTTTGAAGTTGTTTTTTGTGATGGTTATAAGATTTATGTCTAGATATATTTTTGGCATGTGGATGTCCAGTATTTCCAGCACCATTTGTTGGAAAGAGTATCTTTGCCCCATTGTGTTTCTTTTGCTTCTTTGTCAAAGATCTGTGGACTATATCTAATTTTATGTGATGTCATTATTTTGCCCTAAATGTTTTCTACATTAACGTTTGACTTTTTTCTTTGACTCATAGGTTATTGAGAAGTGTGGTGTTTAATTTTCAAATATTAGGGATTATTTTTTGTATCTTATTAATATTGCTTTCTAATTTAATTCAGTGTGGTCAGGTATTACAGTCAAGATTTAATTTAAAATCTAATGATATTTAAGTCTTTTCATCTAGTTCTTTTGATAGATATTCATGTGCAATTGAAAATAATGTGTATTCAATATTTATTGGGTATTAGTGTACTGTAGCTGTAAATTATGTCAAGTTGGTGATAATATTGTATAAACCTTCTGTATTTTTTTAATTTATTTTTTGTCTACTTTTTCTATCGGTTACTATGATAAGTATGCTATAAAAGCTCCAACTATGATTATGAATTTGTCAGTTACTTTTTTTTAATTATGTTAGTTTTGCTTCATGTATTTTAAAACTCAGATAGTAGGTTCACAAACATTTAAGATTATGATGTCTTCCTGAAGAATTTATCTTTTTTTTTTCATTTTCCTATTTTACTCTTTATATCTGCTGATACTTTTCCTCTTGAGGCTTATTCTGTGTGATATTATTGTATTATAGTCCAAACATTTATCATATGTTTATTATTTGCATGTTACATCATTTCCCATCCTTTACCCTGAGCCTATTTGGACCTTATCACTGTTCAGGCTCTGACCAAGCAGATTCTGAGATGGAGATGATGCTAGGAGCTTATTGGGTTTTACTTTCAGCAGTAATAACCTTTGGGAGGATAAAGGAACCATGATTGGATGGAGAGACATTGCTCTTTAGTGAAATTGCAACAAAGGCCTAAGCTGATCCTATGAGGGGCTCTAGACTCAGGAGACCTTGATGGTAGGGAGAGTAGTCTCTATACCCCTTCACTGATTTGTCACTAGATGAGGGCTACCCCCAGAAAGGGTGTAATCTTTGGTAAAGTGACTTATTTAGTTGAGGGAAAGTCCTGGAAAGGAATTCAGTTGAGCACTGCCAGTTGGTAATGCTCCTTACAGCTATAGGAAAGAATTTTTCAGTCCAACAGCTGGGTATCTGGGCAGCACACCATAGTATCACAGTGTGCTTATATTTAAAATCCTTCTCTTATAGATCCCTAAAAGGCGGATCTTAGTTATTTAATCCAATATGACAATGACAATCTTGAGCTTTTCATTGGAGAGTTTAATCCATTGATATTTAGTATAATTATTGATATGTTGGGTTTGAGTGTTCTATCTTACTATGTGTTTTCTATTTTTCACATATGTGTTCTCTCTCTCTGTCTCTCTCTCTCTCTCTCTCTCTGTCCCTCTCTCTCTCTCTCTCTCCCTCCCTCCCTCCCTCCCTCTCTCCCTCCCTCTCCCCTTCCTTCCTTCCTTCCTTCCTTCCTTTTCTGTTCCTGGTTTTTTTGGGGTAAATCACATTCTAAAAAATGTTTCAATTATTCTGTTGACATTTTTATACTTGTTTGCATTCTTCTTATTAATATTTCATGTAGGTATTACTTGACATATCCTAAATTTAATTCTTATCCAAGCTTATTATAATGCCTTACATCAAATGAAAGAATCTTAAAGGAATATAATTGTTTGTGCTGTTGTCATTTATATTACTTCTGTACCATTTTATAAATTCCACAATACAATGGTGTTAAATTTTTTTTTTTATTCATTTGGCTGTCTTTCATGGATTAAGAGAAAAAAATGATCTTGTGTATTTACCTTTCTGTTGCTTTATATTTCTTCCTGTAGGTCTGAGTTTTTATCTGGTTATAATAACAAACAAATTATGAGGCTTATCTACTGTGGAAAGTTATTTATTTATTTGTTTATTTATTTATTTATTTATTTATTTATTTATTTATTTATTTTGAATGGGCTGGCATGTTCACCTAGATAACCAAAAAGTCTTAGATTAGCTATTGGTTTTAGTTCTTATTATTGTGAGGTCACATTGCTCAGTAGAATAGTATATGTAGTTTATTAAAAAATCACTGTGAAATTTCAACTTTTGCTCTGCTGCAACAGGTCTATGGAAATGCAGGACCTAGCAAGTCCTCACCCTCTTGTTGGAGGTGGTGATACTCCTGGTAGCTCCAAACTGGAGAAAGCTAATCTCAGCAGCACATCAGTCACCACAAATGGGACAGGAGGTAAGTGTACAACCTTGAAGACACCCAGAATCACATTTTAATATTTGCTGCAATTTCACATGTTAGGGATCTGCTAATAAATAAATATCTCATAAGCAATAATATAATCAGCATTATATACAAGGAATGTATAATATAGTTAATGGATTATTTGTTGTTCTGTTCATTTGCTTGAATTTTTTCTTCTTCTATAAAACTGGAAACATTCAGAAAGAATAGCCCTGAGCAACATTTTGAAGGCCTTTAGTGAGGCTTCCTTTTTTTATTTGCCCTTGTAAATATTCTAAAAAAATATGTAGAAAATGTAGCCAAAGGATAAGCACTGGATCTTTAAAAAAACAAGAAAGAAAGAAAGAAAGAAAGAAAGAAAGAAAGAAAGAAAGAAAGAAGGAAGGAAGGAAGGAAGGAAGGAAGGAAGGAAGGAAGGAAGGAAAGAAAGAAAGAAAGAAAGAAAGAAAGAAAGAAAGAAAGAAAGAAAGAAAGAAAGAAAGAAAGAAAGAAAAAGAAAAAAAATTATACTACTTTTTGGTTTTATTTTGTTATGAGAGAGAGAAAGCCTACTCCAACATTTTTCTTAAAAATGTTTTTCTCTTGAAAATAATTTTGGTAAATATCCGTATCTGCTGCAATTTTCTTTTCAAAGAGAATAACATCTAACATGTATTTAAAATAAGAATTGAGTATTTTTTCCAGATAGCTTCTCATTTGATTAGTCTTTAGTTATTGCACAGAATATGTTAACAATAACAGTTACTTCAAATATTCTGCCCTATTGCTTTTATAAAATGCATTCAACCTGTCAGAAAATATGATCTGATTTTTGCATCAGAATATAGAGACTATATGTGTATATATATATATATATATATACATATATATATGTATATATATATATATACACATGAATTTTAAATCATTCACAATCATTTTGAAGATTTGTAGAACTGGTGTTTTAGTTAATAAGTGAGAACTTATAAGAAATTTGTTTTAATTTAAAAACTATTCATCTTACTAGATATTAGCATTTGCCACATCATATTTTCTTTTAAATTTTCAATATATATTTATGAAATTGATACACCTCTTTCCATTTATTTTAGAATAACTGTGCAGTCTAAAACTTTCTTTGTAAAGTTGTGTGCATTGCAACTTGCCTGTATTTAATAATGTTTTACACCAAACCCTTTGTAGATTAACATTTTCCTTGTTTATAATGTTTATTTGTCTCTAAACATGCATATATAGTTTCAGCTGATTAATTATAGGATTGCAAATGTATAAGATTGTTCAGTGATGACTCCTGGTGTAAGAACATTAATATTTAGACCTTAGCTTGGTACAAATAAGATTTTTTTTAAAAAAACCCATGCACTCTGGAATCAGACCTGAGAATTCACTAATTATCATCTATTTATATTTAACTGAACTAAAACAGACCTGATGAACTAAAATGTAAAAGTCATACCATCCAGTTATAATTTTGGCAAAAAGGTCAGAAACCAGTACATGCATTGGAGACTATTCTTGTACACTGGGCAGGAATTCAGACAATGAACCCTTATACTGTTCCTGTTCTCAGGGGACAACATGACTGTTTTAAACACTGCAGACTGGTTGCTGAGTTGCAACACCCCCTCTTCCGCAACAAGTATGAGAGATGATGGTACACTGCATGTGTTTGGCTGTGTGGATTTGCCCTTCTGGTTTGCTTTCTGTTGCTATTTCTGTGTTTGCACCCTCTTTTCTGTGTTCAGTACTTGTAAAGAAAAAGGAGAAATGAACATGCCTTTTAGCTGTTTATTGATAGCAATTGGCTATGTTTTTTGTATCAACTAGTATTCTCATCTTAGAGTCTTTGAATCAGTAGTACTCTTTTCTTAGATTTTTCATAATTTTACAAAATTGTTTTTCTAACTACATACCAATTCATTAAGTGGTTAATTGGGCACAACAGTCATGTCACTCAGGACATTTGAAGTAAGTTGCACATACGAATACATACAAACTCAATTATCTTTATAACCTATAGATTTCCATAATTTAATTTCTTAACATGGGAAGACATGCTTGCTATTTTACAGACTGTGTTAAATATTCCAATTAAAGTCTTTAAAATAGCATTAACATTTAAAATCCCATCATTTAAAACATTATAAATGGTGAAAAGTAAATATTTAAAATTGTAAATTAATATTCTCTTTTTAAATGTTTTGAACTATATATATTGACTACATTCATATATATGTAAAAGTATAAACAAAGCTTTCCTAGTTAATATGCTATCAAAATTAAAAAATAAAAACAGAACCATGACACTATGGTGGAATCACCCAATTTTTAGGTTAAATAGGAGCTCATTGCCTACTGGAAATGTGCATTACAAGCAAGCAGTTAGACTAGGCACAGTTTGGCTGGACCTTTTGTATCTCAGGTTATATTAGAATATTGGGGGTGCCAAAAAAATGGATACACATTTTAAGAGATGTTATCTATGCTCAAGCAGCATTTCTCCGTAATCAGAAGATTCTGGATGCTGATGGTAACCACTCTGAGCACGTCTTGTAATTGCAGAAATCAAATGTGACATATTCATCTTTTGTTATCGGTATATATTGAGTATTACAATTTTAATACAATTTTTTCCTTTCTTAAAATGTGTATACATTTTTTGGCATCCTCTGTATATGACTAATGAATCAAGAAAACTTCATTATGCCTATTACTTTGTTTTTAGTTTTAGTTTCAATTTTTTTTTAATTCTACACTTAAAATACTTGTAAACTTTTTATACTTAAAAACATATTGCCAGAATTTAGTTCCTCTGAAGTCTAATTTAGGGGACTTTTTCTATAAAGAGACAGACAGTAAATATTTTAGGCTTTATAGGCCGTACCGCCTCTGTTTCTCCTGCTCAGCAATGCCATCATAGCTCAAACGCAGCCTTAGACAATACATACAGGAATTAGTGTGGTTAAGTTCCAGTAAAACTTTATTTATAGACCTTGCAAGGTAAATTTGTATAATTTTCATTTGTCACACATAGTTTAAATTTGACCACTTTTAAAAACATTTAAGATGTAAAAACACTACTATATCACTGACTGTTGTTTTGTTCTAAAGTAGAATTAATATACTTGAATGTTTAGTAATTTATATCTAATCTCAACCAGAAACATTGTGCAGAGTGTTAAGCATCAAGTTTTTCTGGTTCTTAGTGTTAATGTTAAGAGTCATGTGGCCATGTCAGAAGAACAAGGACTTACGTGTCAGGAGGACCCTGGATCTGAACCTTATCACTGCACTTACTAGCTGTGTCACCTTGGACAGGTTACTGAACCTCTCTGAGCTTCAATTTCTTTCTATAAAACAAGGTTAATAACACTTTCCTGACAAGGCTTTTTGTTTTAAATTAGGTAATGTATGTCAGTTGCTTGGTATTGAATATTAGTATATTTCCTTCTATAATCAATAATTTAATAATACTTAAGCAACAAAATTTTAAGGAAAATGAAAACATGCATTGCATTAAAAGGCTCTCCAATGTTTGGAGACTATGTGGCCACTGAAGGCAAACTTTTAGCAATAAAATGTTAGGTATACTTTTATTATTAATGATTTAGTTTTGGTGGCATATTGATATGACATTTTTAATGAATTTTAATGAGTTTTTTATGTCGGGTGTTTACTCGTATAATACAAGCTAAGCATTTGGTACATAATCTCTCCCTTTGATAGTAAACTATTTTATTTTTAGTTCTGGGTTTTATTGTTGGAATTGGATCACTTTATAAAATTATTATAATAAAAAAGGCAAAAGCAAAAACTAGTTTAGTGTCTTTTCAAGATCTTTCCATTAACTTTGAGATTTTCAAAAACATTATTTTAATTATACAGTTTTTACTAATATGAGTTCATAGTATCACCTTAATATCCTACCATACTACATTTATGTGGTTTAAATATGTGACATTATTTAATTTAAAATGTTTCATCACCTTAATGCTAATTATGTAATTACATTTGCAGATTTATACTGTAACCTAGATTTTCTTTTCAAAGTTTTGTCACTTGTAGAATTTTAAAAATGTAGGTCTATTAATCAAAATAGAATAAATGCAATTATACTTTAGCATACAGATAAGTGGTCAACAAACTTTTGCTGTAAAGGGTCAGATAGTAAATATTTGTGTTTTGGGGGCCATATGGTGTCTGTTTTAACTATTAAACTTTGCTACCATTGCACAAAAACAGCCATAAACAAAAGGACAAAACGTAAATGAATGAACTTGGCTGTTTTGTGTTCAGATAAAACTTGATCTATGACACTAAAACTTGAATTTTATAAAATTTTCACATGTCACAAAATAGTCTTCTTTTGACATTTTTCAACTATTTAAAAATGTAAAAGCCATTCAATTCTAAACTCAGGGACTATACAAAAAAACAGACTATGGAGCAGATTTGGCGCGTAGGATATAATTTGCCAACCCCTGGTATAGATAGATAGATGTATATTCATATATCTATATCTACATATCTATATATATAGTATATATATATGCTATATGTGAAGTACACATACTCCTTGTGTATGCATATTCATGCATGTAAATGCTTGCCAATCACATGACAAGTTACTTCCAGACTTAGGAAAGACTCCCGGTTGCTTAATGGAGTCAAGATTCATGATTAACTATACTTTATATACAAAAATACTTAGATCTATTGGGAGGGCTTAGGATAGCGTCTAAAACTGAATTTTCACTTTTTCAATTAAAATGTGTCAAGTTCCTATTATATGCCAGACTCTGTGCTAGGAAATGGGAACCCAATGACCTATAGAACATGATACTGGCCATCAAGAGACCAAAAGTCTAGCAGAGGGGAAGAGACAAGGAAATAATGAGCACCTAATGTGTTCAAGGTGGCGCTCTGTAGAGGGCGAGAAGATCTGATTCTACATGGAGATTAAGAAAATACTTCAAAGAAAGGGTTCGTGGAAACCAAAAATCAGACATTCTAATCAGGGCCATGGTGTTTTCTATATTTAAAATCTACATATCATAAAAAAGAATCTTCTAGAATCTTTACTATACAGACAGCTGACTCACATGCGATGGATTTGTTTCTGAATATTCTATGTTTGTGCAGTAAGCCATCTACTACTGTGGCTCCACACCTTTTAGATTTGCTTCTTGGAATGAGAGCCAAAGATTGCTTCATTAAATTATTTTTTTAATGAAATACTTTATAGATATTTAGGAATGAAAAACATTTGGTGCTCATAGATTTTTGAGACAAACATAAATCATAGGCTGAACCGATTATTACAACCAACCAGCAGGCAGTACTCCTTGCCCCCTGCAGTGTTATAAATTGTGTCCTTCCTGGTCTAACTCCTGAAATTCTTTGTAGAACCTCAGCTGTCAGTAGCTGCTATGTGTAATTTTGTGGTTCAGAAAGGAGTGTATTTGGAATCACATATATATAATCTTTTACGTAGACACTAGTTTAAATGCAGATTTCTGAAGATGAAATAGAAAATGTAAGTTACTTGGGCCGCTTTGTCTCCCAAGGATGAAGCCTGATATTTCAACATATGAACATGAATGTTGTTATGATAATAAAACAGGCTTTTTCCAAGATAAAAATACATTAATGTTGTACTTGAGCTCTAAAGATAATCTGGAAGGACAATATAAAATTTGCTTTGAAAATATGTTTATGAGGATATGGATGAAAGTTGGAATTTGAGGAGAGAAAATCAGTGATTTTGTAGCCATAGCTGATACCTGAAAATAATCACATACTATTTTGATTTAGTCTGTAGATTATTTTTAAAGGTAAAAAAAAATAAAATGCAATCATTTCAATATATTACAATTAATTTGACTCAAAAAAAACCACTATTTGTCTCTATTAAAACCATCTACATTGCAAATGGATAACGAGGTTGGGGGCAGACAATTAAAGTATTTCATGAAGTAATTCTGTACAAAGTGTAATGTATCATTTTTGCATTTCACTTTTATGGAAATGAACCCTTATTTTGAGTATGTAGAAGAGTAAAACTACAAACCTGGGACATTAAAATTTGATGCTGCTTTGAAATCAAAACATTTGTTTTGTGAGTTGAAAATATGATGCTTTTTTCCCATGGAAGATTATTGTTTCCATTTTATAGTATGTAATGATGTAAAACATTCCCCTGAAAATAAGTTAAAAGTTCTGTTTAACTTGTGTTAATTTAAGAAAAGTAAAATACAGTTAGAAAAAAGACTTTTGAATGTAACAATGAATATACACTGATAATCATTTGGAATGAGGGTTTTCATAAGCTTTAAAGAATAGTAACATGCATAAAACTGATTTTTTAAAAATTGCTGAACATTTTTCCAAAAGTGCCTTGCCACTAAAAAAGTATACAATATATCTAATTTAAAATACAGAAACAAAAGCAAGACAAAAGAAAATTGAATACATTTCAAATATATTTGGACTTTGGGTGAATTGAGCTTCAATTTTTCAAGTTTTATCTATAATTACTATAATGTTTACTTTATACTAGTTAACTGCTTTAGAAATATTAAGATACTTTTTAGTATTCTAACACCTTTTTAATAAATCAAGTAATTATATAAAGAATGCCCATGTTACTTTTCTACCTGACTTTTCTGTTCCAAGAAAACAAATTATTATTACTTAATACTACTTTCTTTCCTTATGAAATCAAACCAAAATAACTTTACTTGGAACTCAAGAAAGGTCTTTTGATGCTCACCTAAAGAGAAAATGATTGATTTTCTGTAGCAGCATAATGAATTTCCTCATTTTTTCTACTTTTGCCTGCATATGCGAAACAAACTCTCATTAATGTGTAGCTTTTTTCTCCAAACGTTAGCATCCATTTGTTGAACTATTACTTTAAAATCCATGCATTTTAGTACTCTGAACCCTTCTTGATATTTATGCTTCTCTTCATGTATTTTCTAGGAATGCCTTTCTCAGTAAAATGAATCTTCTTTGTCTGTCTCTGACTAAATGCAGACCTTTAAAATTTTAATGACAGATGTTTCCAGTATAATAAATACAACCACAAACTCTTTCTTTCCCTTTTCTTCTTTCTCCTTTTGAGCACCTGAAACTTTCAAATTGAGGAGATTTTAATCAACATCCCTACTACGTTTCTGAAATCAAATTTCAAACTTGGGATCCAAAGTAACAAAATGAATCCTCCTGCCTGGCTTCTAGACCAGCTTTGTTAGACACAGCTGTCATTCTGCTCTGTTGTCGCCAATTCTCAAGTGAAATATAGATTACTGTTAGTGTTAATAAATATATTTTGCAAGTATTGCTTATAGATTTAGACACATTTAAGTAGGAATTTAGCCACAATTAGAATTTGGAAGTTCTGAGCAACTTTTTCTCGTCTTAGTTTTGCTGAAGGTTTTGTCATAAATGTCAGAAGTAGATGGTGGACATTTCATCACAGGGACCCTTTAGACTCATCTAGATCACACCCTGGGTCACCTTTGTACAGATTAAAGGGATGCTTGATCAGTTCGTGCTGCCTGCGAGGTGCTATGGTTTAGAGTTTGGAACCTGAAACTACGCTGCCTTGTCTCACATCCTAGCTCTTACCAGCTCTGTGACTCTAGGCAAGTTATTCAACCTCTTTGTGCCTTAGTTTCCTCACCTGACAAATGGAGATGATAATATTATCACCCTCATATGATTGTCATTGGGAGTAAATGAGTTAATATCGATAAAGCACAGCAAAAGCAACTGGAATGTATTAAGTACTTAAGTATATGGTGTTATATGCTTTCAAACTTGCTACTTCTCGTTGTCTTTTAACATACGTCCTGAGGAAGAAATGCAAAGCATACTTCATTAGCCTATTTTTCAGTTTTCATTATTAACAAACGGTGCCTACTTACCCTGCCTAGAAAATAACCCCATTCTTATCACTCTCTGAGCCTATGTGAAGAGTCCCTGTAATGAACAGAAGGTATTCTCATACCTGAAGACATCCTTTTACGGTGCAGAGATCATGAATTTAGAGCTGAAGACCTGTGTTTGGATCTTAGCTATGTCATTTCCTGTGATGGAACTCATACAAGCTCCTCAGCCCACCCAAACTTAGTTTCCTCGTGTATAAAATGGATGTAGTGGTTCATATTGATCAGGGTTGTTTTAATGATTAGCTGAATTTAAATAGTCTAGCACATAGTAAGCTCTCAATAAAAAATTATGTAGTAGTAAATCATTTTGTAGTAGTAAATATAACTAGTGGTCTGCTATAACCATAATATAGGCCACTATATACATAGTACTACTGAAAAGTAGTAACCACAATTCATTATTTATCATTGTACAAATAATTAGACACTACTTCTTAGGTTATTGTTGCTATTGAAAAATAGGTCAACTTTAAATTTCCCTTTTGCTAGAAGAAGTAATCTAAGTTTCTTTACTTCTTCTTTCCAACCTTTACAGTTCTCTGAATCTTCTAGCAAATCTTCATGACATTAATGAATGATGGATACTAAATTAACCCCAGAGCTCACTGAGGGAGGGTCCAGTCGATTCTGTTCATGGGAAAAGAGCATAATCCTTACTGCATGTTTCTCCACCACTTAATTGCTTTTCTAACGGAGTAACCTTACTGACTTGCTTGGTTGGTGGGGAAGCTCTTAACCCACTATTCTACTGCAATATTTATTCATGGCTGGCTAGTCTTCAGCCTTCTTCTTTCCAGTTTTCTGCTTGCTTCTAAGTTATTTAATTGTATCATTCCAAGAAACATAAGAGGTGTTAAGTAGAAAATAACTTAGTTTGCTGCTTTGATGTATGTAGCAGAGCTTTGCCCACAACGGGAAAATATGGTGTGACAAAATGAGAAGAGGCCTTTCCACTGCCTGCCTCCCCCTATTCCTTGTATCTAATGACAATAATGTGTACCAGGCTACGTCATTGCCAAGTGGGGATTTTGTCAAAATAGACCACCTCAAAGTAGAAATACCATGTTGGAGAGTTTTCAAAAGATAGACTTATTGCTGTAAAAATTATCTCTTATCCTATGCATATCTCTAGAATTCATTAAAAATTGTTAATGCCATTAAAATAAAAAGCCTAACACCTTATGTATAGCTCTTTAGTCTTTTTTAAAAGCAGAAAAATATACTGAGTGCCTCATTTTTCACCCATCACATAAAATATACCCATGGTTTCTGTATTTGAATATGCCTTCATTTTACTCTTATGCAATCTTTTTTTTTAATATCATCTTTGGAAGAAGTAACATATAAACTAGTGTATCTCCTTGTTATGATTCAGATTAAATGTGCTGAAGACTGATTTCTGATCCTTTTTTTCTGCCTTTTGACTATAATATCAGAGTGTGCTTTAGGTGCGTTAAAAATGCAAATATGTGTACTGCTGTTTCAACGTTTTAAGGTTGACTGGCTTTAAAAGACAAATTCTCCAGAGAACCAGCTTAGCCAGAGGTTTCTTAGATTAAATTTTCTACAAATGCATGTCCATTTAGAAGCTAAATTAACAAAACTCTCTTCATCGACTTCTCAAGTTTTCTCGTGCATGCCCATGGTAGCTAGAAAAACCACTAGTAGAACAGTCAGTCTTTGATATCCATTTAGAAATAAAACTCACATGTACTTATTCTTCTACGTAGTGTCTCTCCTTGCAGTCAAAACAGAGCCTTTGAACAGCACTGAAACCACAACCACGACTGGAGATGGAGCGCTTGACACTTTTACTGGGTCAGGTAAAGCCTTAAGCTTGTGAGTTGTTACCTACACATTGGGATCTACACAATTCTCCTAGTGAACAAGCAGCATACACACCAAGTTAGAACGTGGGGTTTTATCAACTTAGCAATGGATTCACTTTTTTTTGAGAACTGATTGGCATAAAACTATGTATTTTTAGAAATTATATTTGGAATCGTTTTGCTGGATTTTCAGTTGACAGCAAAAGATTCCCCTGACTTTCTTATTAGAAATAAGCAGAGCTGGCTTCCTTCATAATTATTTTATACAGTTTTATTTTAATAATTAGGTTGTAATAGTTGACTTTATTCCTTCAACTCGCCTATTTAAATAACATAAAAACTATGTTCTCTCCAACATTTGAGATGTAAAGCTATCCATTTGATTCCTTCTAAATAACCTTGTTTCCTCTCTGGGTTTAAAAAAATCCTCCTGTGTAAGCAGCTGAGTGACAAGTATTAAAGGTTAATGGGTTGCAGGAGTGCACATGCTGGTTGCATTAGAACCCAGCCTCTGAGAGCACGACTTTTACTCAAATGCTTCAAAGAGAACAATAGCATGTCTTTAAACATCAATCCTTTCTAAATATAAATACCTGATAACTCCCAGGTGGGCACAAATGACTCGCATTCAATTGACTTAAAGATTTTTTTTAATGTTGCAATATTTTGTTTGGTTTATTATTTGGTTAAATGACTTTTTTTAACGTGAGGAGGAATGTGTATAGCAGAAAGATGAACATTCAAACTAGAAAAGTATTTGTGATAATTCAATCTTGGTTCTGTTACTCTATTTTACATTTATCCATGTTCTTACATACAAGGATTTTATGTGGGTGAGATTCATGTAAAAGAAGTTGAGGTATATTCTTGAGTATAATGTTTTTCTAGAATACGTTTGATATTTATAGATACAGGAGATCCCATTTCATTAGTTCACACTGATTAAGAACAGTCACCACGTATTCACATAAATATTAGTACTCCAAACAGAAAGAAATAATAATTCATACACTCTGAATAGAGACTCATACATGCTAATTTATATCTTTTCCTGCAATTCACTTGCCTCCCAAGAGATAAATAGGTACCAATTAACTCTAGCATTCTTTATTATTCACCATAACCCTTGTAAACTTCCTGCAAAGTAAATGGATATGAACATATTTTTAAGGAAAGGAATGGAATTATTAACTAATTGCTGACATACTCAAGTAGTATACCACAAGTTGATTGAAAGCTTAATGACAAAATTGTCAAGCGTTAGCTCCAGAAGGAATTCCAGAGATCTCTGATCCATTTTACAGACAAGAATATTGAGGTACTGAGAAGGTAAAGCAGTCAAGGTCATACAGTCAAGGCTTCATAGGTGGTCACTGGTATAAATAGTCTAAAACAGTGTCCTGACCAGTCCAGGAGTCTTTTTCAGTGATATGCTATTGGAAAATATAAAGATGGAAAAAGAAATAGTTGTGAATAATCATCCTATCTGAAATTCACTCATATTTTCTGTACAAATAGTTTCCCAGTTTTCTGTTAAGACTTAACGAGAGCTGCACTATTCAATAAAGTAGCCACTAATAGCCACATATGTGGCTATTTAAGTCTAAATTATTAAAATTTGGTACAAGTGAAAAAATAAAGTATCTAGTCACATTTCAAGTGCTTAATAGCTGCATGTGGGTTTTCTTAGAGACTTCCATTGGACAAATCAGGTATAGAACTTTTCCAACACCATGGACCAAGTTCTTTGGGGCAGCAATGATCTAGGACAGCGGTTCTCAACAACAGCACTATTAAAAAATTGGCCAATTTTTTATTGTGGGGTAGCTGTCTTCTGCACTGTGAGATGTTTAGCAACTTCCCTATCATCTATCCCAGGATGAGAGTAGCACCCTCCAGCTATGACAACCAAAAATATCCCCTGGAGCAAAATTCCTACTCCCTCTCCCACCTCCCACCTCACTGAAAGTCACTGATATAAGGGTCACAATAATAAAAGCAAAACAATACAATTGCTTGATATGACCTTCTCTGAGAGTCTGATAATATTCTTTAAAAATTTGTTTTAGTAAATTATCAAGACATTTTGAAGACAAGCAGATTTGCTTACTTTCGTATACAGGAATGATGGAGTATAATGAGTTGAATGCTTTGGGTAATGTCTCTTGATTAGTTAAATAACAATGGATAATAAAAGGAAGTCTCCCATTGTTTTCCGGTAGTCATAATGAAGCTTAGCCTGTGTAGGAACCATCTTTACTTTGATCAGCAGATTTTATAATCTCAACTCATTTTAGTCAAATATTGTTGTTGTTTTCAGTTATGTGCAGATTTATGTTAGAATAAAATGTATACATTTTAATTAAGCACAAACTCCTCAAGTTTTATGTGAACATGCTAATTTTCTGAACCAAAGGTTTTATATTCTAATTAGAAAATGAACATATAGACATTAATATGAAATTTTAAAGGTTGAGCCTTTATACTTTTATAGGTACATTATTCTGATGTCTAAATTATCGGCTTTTTTTTCTGAAATAATTTTGCTCTTTGGCTTATTTATTTAACAAAAGCTGCTATAGTGAATGTTTCTTTTTCATTATTTGAAGTCTCTTTGGGGAAACCTTGTGTTTTACAATCTTGAGAATATCTGATTAGTATAATCAAAGTCTTGAGTGTGTCAAAGTGAAATTTTATAGAGACAAAAAACATGGAATTAAGCCTCATTTAACTATATTTCTGGTAAACAGAGTATTCACTATTGTGAAAGAATGAATCAGACTGAATTTCCTGTGGAATAACACTATTGCTCTTATATAAAGTACATTCAGTTCCCATGGTATGATAGAAAAAGCCTGTTCTCATTGAGTGGATTTGAAAGTCTCAAACATTCTTTAAGTTTTTAATACATAAGTAGAAAATCAATGCTTCATTGATCAATGTATTTTCAAATATATATTGCAAGTTAACTTAAATTTTGGTTGCTGCAAATATTTAGTACAAAATGACTCTAGTCATATTCAATGATTTTCAAAATTGATTCATAATATTCTTGAAAATATTCTTTCTGAAAACTGTAATATAATTTCCGTATTCAAAGCTTACAGGCCAAATAGCATTTTAAATACGTTAAATTATACATGTTTATGAAGCAATAGATCACAAGGGTATGTGATAGCATTTTGATATAGAAGAATCCTGTGTTTTATAAAATACTTAGCAACCTAACCCTATTTGTCACTTTTATAATTCTAAAAGTTTAGCTCCAAAATTATTATGAACAACTTAGCGAGGACATAGTACTTTGAAGTAATGACTGTGATTGATTAAACTAAACTAATTCCAGTGCTGCGTTGTGTACTACTTTAATCTTTTTGAAAAGTGAATGAACAGCAGATGGCCTAATAAAGACACTCTGTGTGCTTGCCTAGTATGGATTGGCTCTGAGGGGACTGCCTCAACACTTTAGAGTCCATATATTTGCAATACATCTGTCTTAGTCAATGCAGATGGTTAACGGAAGGAGAAACTTCCCAACTTTTGGATATATTCCAGTTTGGGGCTGCATGTATGGGTGATGTATTAGTAGGACCCGATTTTCACCTTCATGTTCTCCTCAAAAAAGCACTCTCTCATAGTTTAGAATATATTTGTAAATAGGACTGCTGCTGCATTTTGCAATTGTGTTTTTATTAGCATGTCACACCATTACCCATGCTTTTTATGTGTATATTCCAATTATTGCTAGAATATTTTGGACTCAGCATTTTTTAATGACCCATCTGATTGGTAAAAAGAAAAATAAATGGAAAATGATGGCATTTGACAATTTGAAAATGAAGGTTGAATGTCGTGTTTTTCTTAATTTTTATGTATTTCTATTAGAATAAACATGAAGAGCACTATATTGCAATCATATTTGGAATTTTAAACATAAGTTTTGCAAGTTAAAAAATTACTTTTATATCATGAAAGCTGAATTACCTATAATCAAAGATATTTATTCATAACATATTAATACATAAGAGCATGCTACTGATTTGAGAAAATAGATGAATGATGGAGGGAAATGATTTTTAAGAAGAATCCATTTCATGCTCTTAAAACAAACTAGAAGCAGTTAGAAGAAAATGTTTAGGCATCTGTTTCTTTTTAGAAAATTTTTAAAAACATATCTTTAACATGGTAATTTCTTCAAATTGGTTTTGTATACTCTAATGAAATATATTTATGAAGCAACCTTTTTGCACTGTTTTTTTGTGTCTTACAGTAATAACAAGTAGTGGCTACAGCCCCAGATCAGCACATCAATATTCCCCACAGCTCTATCCTTCCAAGTAAGTGGTCAATAAATTCTTTCAGAGTTGTTAGAATAATTTTCCAGGGTGATCTTTATTAATCTGTATTCACATAATATAACAACTTTAAATTGGGATGCATTTATGTATAAATGTATTTTAGATACTTGGATAGATTAGTTGGATCGATAGATACATATCCTGTACAAATCTAGAAATAGAGGTATACTCACTTTTGTCTGGACAATTCCCTTAATTCTGGACATTAGAGGAAAGCATCCAGCTCAAACCAGAATACGCTGACTTTTTCATGAAAATTCAAAAATGCCAAATAATTTAAAGAAAATGTAAATAGATTACATTATGTTCAAATATCAACACTTTATAATATGTTCCATCATTATAGTATTTTTATTAGATTTCAAGTCCTAATAAATATATTTTTGAAGAATATGATCTACTGTTTTTATAACTAATGCAAACTTATTGAGGACAGGGGTAGAAATATCAAGTGTAAGCGTATTGGGTGAATATCTAAATTTGGTTGCAATCAGCCAGATGTGTCAAGAGTTTGGAGTCCAGATTCATACACATTTAAATGTTATTTTCTGCAGCAACTAAAGTGTTCTTCTTAAGGATAGTCTTGGAATTGGATGTCCGTTTGGGAACATCCTATAAAATGTAGCATGATGCAGGGAATGGCATTCCATATCTTTTCAGGAAGCTGCCTACTTTTTGTTGTTGTTGTTTTATTTAAGGTTTTTAGTTCTTGGTAGAGAATTCTTGGTAGGGCTTTTAATGACTTTTGTAGTCATTGCATAGCATGAGGTCACTCACAGCGACTGGACATATGCTTACAAGCATATTAATTTAATGGCCTGTGCTCCATTTTCCTCATTTCCATATTAATTAGAATACTATTTTTGATGTAAACAAGAATTACAGACCTGGAAAAGACTTTAGATATGACTTCCAAAGTTTCTCATTTTACCAGTGAGCTGTAGAGACTTAAGGAGTTTAAATTATTTGTCCAAGATCACTAGACTGGTGTGTAGCAGAGCCTGGGCTCCTGCCGTTCAGACTCTTGACCTGTCCTATATTGTTAAAGTTACATTGTGGATAAAGAAGAGGATACTTCCTGGCTATTATAAGGTTTCACTGAATCTAGGCTGTCTGAATTAATATGCAGTCTTTGTTGCCACAGTAATGCTATTTTTCTGATATTTAGGCCCTATCCACACATTCTTTCTACACCAGCAGCTCAAACAATGTCTGCCTATGCAGGCCAGACTCAGTATTCGGGAATGCAGCAGCCAGCTGTCTACACAGCCTACTCACAGACAGGACAGCCCTACAGCCTGCCCACCTACGGTATTTCATGGCTTCTCTCTTCTCCTTTTTTGGTTATAAGCAGATAATCCTGCTAGCTAGTAGTTGTGTATTCTAAGTTTTGCAACTCAGAATTAAGATCGTTTAGTAATTAAATGGTTTTGCACATGCATTTTCCAAATAGATTTGGGTGTGATGTTGCCAGGCATCAAGACAGAGAGTGGACTTCCACAAACTCAGTCCCCCTTGCAAAGTGGGTGCCTCAGTTACAGCCCAGGATTCTCCACCCCACAGCCGGGCCAGACACCTTATTCTTACCAGATGCCAGGTAAGTAGCCACACAGGAAACACATTATATGAGAACAGATTCTTTGAATGAGACGCCTTGGCTTCAGACTAGGAATATACAGTCATAAAGAGGGTTTTCAACATTACCTCTGCTCACAGAATTTTATCAGAAAAGACAAAATAACCAGAAAGAAACAGGATGGAAAGAGTTGAATAGACCTCAAGAAACATGACCCATACCAAATTTAAAGACTTAAGTTTAAGTTGCATAAAATTGGCAGGAAACTTGGTCCCAGCAAAGCAACTCCAAGCCAGTCACCATGGCAGCAGTCACATTTGGCATCTACTTAAGTGATTTCAAAGATTCAGACAACAACCAGGATTTTCTTATTAGTATTCCTTAAGTACACAATGCTGTTGGATTCTATTTAAAATTGAATTAGCACTTTTCTAAGTCCAGTTTATCATTGAATGATTGAGGAGTTTTTTGCTCATTCCTAAAATACCTCTCCCCTATTGATACTACATTTCTTAATAGGAATATTTCTATCGTTCGTACCACCCCCAGAATCCCCCATAGATGATCATTTAAAAAAATTTTTTTCCTCTTGTTTTTGACTCCAATTAATCACTGTGTAGTAGTTGCGGAAAAAAATTAGTGACCTGGTAAAAAACATTAAAACCTTGTTCCTATCTGGCATTTTGTCCATAACGTTAGTCATAAATTTGGGGTTATAGTAACATATTTGAACCGACTAGTATTGACATTTGAATCAATTGAGTAAAATGAAATAATGAGTTTGACCTTTTTAGCTGAAATGGCAGGTTCTCTTTTGACCTAGAATGTAGGTGAAAACACGTTGCCATACATGCTACAGCCATAATGAGCCACACAGCTTCAGTCAGCAGTGTGCAAGACTATACAGACATTTTCATGTATTCCCCCAACACTCTCATATGGGATATTTCAAGTCAGGTCAATTTGGATTGATGACATAATTCTATTTCTATTCAAAACCTGTTGATAAGATAATCAGCTGCCTCAATAGTCTTTCATTTTACTCCTTAACAAGTACGTTCCAGAAGAATGTATTTTTAAAAAATAATCTGCAAAAATTATAGTTCACTTGTTTTTGCCCTAATCTTAAAAAATTGCTGGATAGGGCCGGCCGAGTGGCGCGATGGTTAAGAACTGGCTTGGGACGCCAGAGGGCCCCGGTTCGGATCCCACATATGAGGGCCAGTGACACTGCCCTCTACAGCTAAGATGCTGAACAACAGCTCAACCTGGAGCTGGGCTGCCCTGAGTCGCCGGTGACGGCGTAGGCTGCAGTCCCTGTGGCAGTGGGTTGCCATGGGCTACCGTGTGTGGCCAGCAGCCAGCGTGAGCGGCCAGCAGCTGCAGTGAGCGGCCGTCCAGAAGCCGGCGACTGATGTGCCTCCCCTGGGAAGAGCGCAATGATGGTGCCAACTTGGGCCAGTGAAGCAACATCCTCCACAACTGGATTGAAGAACAAAACGACAGCAACTTGTCTGTTCCCCTTCCCCCAATTCCCCAATAAAAAAAAAAAATCTTAAAAAAAAATTGCCAAATAAATTTCTGGCCATATAGTAAATTTTAGAAGGCCTTCAAACTTTAAATTAGTACAGTATAAACCATATTGAGTCTGTACCCTAGTTCCTAGCTCTCTTTTTATCCTAAGGAAAGGACAGAGGACTGTGAGGACAGGAGGCAGTAAGCATCATCTCTAAATGGGTTCTGTGTGTTTTTTTCTTAAGCTAACCCTGTCCAAATATTTAACTCAGGTAATTGCTGTATGCAAATACAGTTGATATGGCCATTTGAAAATTCCAGTAGTCTGGAAGTAGTCTCACTCTACATATTTTATTCTTCAAGTGCTTCTGCAGTTCTAGACACTTAACCCTAAAGGTTAGCTGCAGTTCTTATTAATACTCTTCTCACATGCTCCTGTTTAGTTCAACAGACTTCTACAGGAAAAATGTTACTTGTTGGTATAGGAGGGCTAGAGTGATATCTATAAATGATATAGATTTATATTTTCCTTATAAATCTCTCAACTTCAAATTTCACTATCTTAAGAACACAATTAAAAATATATCGCTTCCACTAAATACTGCAAAGTAAAATATTTGTATTCACTTACAAGAATACTTTTAAAAAGCAATTTTTTTTTACCTCTAGGTTCTAGTTTTACACCGTCATCTACTATTTATGCAAATAATTCAGTGTCCAATTCAACAAATTTCAGCGGTTCACAACAGGTATAGTACTTTTTTATGTTTATGCTTTTCATACCTATTTCAGATTTTTGAAGAATAGTTTCAGGTTGCCATATAAGTGCATATTCTCCCAGAATAAGGTTTCTTAAATTTAAAGTTAAGATGGCACATCAGGGTAATAAAAATTAGCTATCTGGAATTTGGGGGATATGTGTAATTCTGGATATTTTAGCTTTTCTGTTTTCTAAAGGTTTGCCTTTTAAACATTTAAGCTGTAATTCTTTTAACCATTTGGCATGGGATTACAAAATCGATTGCATACTTTCCTATTATCTTAACCCTCCGTCGGCGCAACAACTGAGCTCACAGATTCGTTGCACAAAAAGATGCCACTAAGAAATATGTCTTGACTGCACTAAGTCACAAACATGACTGGCGATAGTTTACGGTATGGGGGGAAGATATGGAAGTGATGAGCGATAAAGTTAACTGTTAGGTATTTGAAAATGTGTGTGCAATAAATCTGTGAGATCAGTCGTGCCCGACAGAGGGTTAAACATAATTTAGTTTAAGACTAAGCATAATTTTGTTTTTCTTGATAAAAGAGTTTCATTATGAAAATTAATGAATAGATTAAACTGTAATCAATAATTGGATTGTGCTGTAGACTATGAGACATTTTTAGTCCAAAATATAATTTGCTATTAAACAAAATGCCTCTTAGACTACTGTTGGCTTTTGATTATCTTTTCTTAGTTTTATAAATGTTGATTCCTATTTGCCTGAATACTGTAGTTTTTTGCTTTTGTCATAGTGCTTGCCTCTAGAAGTCCTTTTAGTCTTCCTCCTAATTATATTTTCTTAATATTTTTGTGAGTTTTAAAATCTAGCTTGTTAGAATTACATGTGGAGCAAGAGCGATTGTCCCTAAATAAGCAGATCAGCTAAAAGTGAGAAGCGTTTCCTATATATACTGACACTACAGGATCTTTTGTGCTTATTTCCTAATTCTCAATAATGTTCAGAGGAGTTGAGATGGACGGATTGTTGATTTCCTGCATAGGCAATACTTTATTTTACTTTAATATAATCAGTGGGCTTTTATGTATCTAAACTGTAAACTATTGCACAAGTGCGCAATCTTTGGATTTACTGAAGATTTTATTAATGGCCTTCTTTTACTTTTCATTAACAGAACAAAAGGTAAAAATGAAATTTTGATTATTAAATAATGTAGAATTATCAGGTTTTGTAAGATTAAACTTCAGACTTTGGCATTAGTTAGAAAAATTGTTTCTTAAAACAGTAAAATTGGAGCCAGTATGCATCTTGTATATTTTTAAAATTGAGAATTTTTGAAAATCCAGAGAGCTTAATTTTACTCTTATTGACACAGTAAACATTTATTGAGCACTAACTATTTATTAGATTTTTGACTAGGTACTGGTAATTCAAAAATAGTAAGTCATTGTTCTCTACTCTCTGGAAGGACATAATCCTAAAGAAACAGGCATGAAAATAATACGGACAGAGGATGGGACATAATGAAATAATAATAGAAATATACACTCGGCAGAGTGGTAGTGTAAGAGAGAAGAGACAGTAAACCAGTAAACACATAAGTAAACATAGAATGAGAAAACATGAGGGAAGAGAACAGAGTCCTATTAAAATGTATTAGTGGAGAGCTGAGTAGGGGTAAATTCATGGAAGGCTTTTCTCTTGAAACGACAATGAGGCCAAGTCTTCTAAGAGCTAAATGAAGAAAGAGGGTAAGGGTGTTCCAAGCATAGAAAGCAGCATGTACCAGACCCCTGAGGGGTGAAAAACTTGGTGTGTAATGAAGTCAAAGCAGGCTAGAGTTTAGCTTGTACGTAAGGGTCTGGTGTGGAAACATGTGTGGTGATAGGCAGGGGCCTGCACATAGAGGACCCTGTGGTTTAAAATAAGGAATTTTGATTCTATTCCAAGCACAATGGGAAGCTATTAAAGGATTTTGAGCAGGAGAATAGCATCATATAATTTATGTTTTGAAAACATTACTCTGGCGTCAGGAACTTTGGAGAAAGTCAAAACTGGAAACAAGGAGACAAATTAGAAAACCTGTCCATTGGCTACAACAGGAAGTGAAGATAGCATGGACCAGAGTGACAATTGTGGAAAGGAGGAGAAGCAGAGATCTTTGAGATATGTCTAAATACAAAGCGACATTTTATTCCCCAGAGGCTAGTAGGCTGGACCATTCCAATCAGTAACTTCATCTTCCTCTAAGGGCATTAGCAGCCTCATCAAGGGCTAGTCAGGCTCTCCGGCTTCCAATTCCAGCTCTGAAACTTGCTAGCTGCTTGGCCTTGGGCAGATCACTTAACCACTCTGTGCTTTTGTCCGCTTCAATGTAAAACGGGGATAATGATAATGCCATATAGAGGGTTGTGAGGATTAAATGACTAAATCCATTTAAGGCTTTAGAACAATACCTAACAAGCAAGCACTAAGTAAATGTTTGCTATTACTATTTTACTTTGAAAAAATATTATATGTGGCTAGGAACTTTGTCCAAATATTGCTAAGAGATTTTTTTTCTTGTGCACAGGTGGTAATGGGTCGCATCAGGCCTTGAAATAAATAGAATTTTAACTTTCTGCCATACTACTTAATCTTTTCTGGTAATATACATATTTGATAATATACATATTTGCTTATACACATATTTAATATGTGAATTAAATATACACATTTGCTTATATACATATTTACTTTATACAGAGAATTTCTTCTTCTGGAAACCACATCAAATGTGGATCTTTTCCCCTTGGGAACATGTATTAGAGGATTTTAATCCTGATCAAGGATTTGTCATCACTGATAACAATTTGGGTTAAAACATGCTAGATATTAAACACCAATTATTGCAACACATTTTTATTCATTAGCTCAATATGTAAAAGGATTTTGAAGGATTATTTAGATCATTTTAAGATTCTTAAACTTTTTAAAATAAGAAGCAGTCAGAAGAGTTGATCCAATGCTTTCTCCCCCCTCTGTAACAAATGAGGCAAACTAAATGTTTGAAAATCTTTTATTCATCTTCTTTTATTTACTCTCTACCTCTTGCCAAGAAAGCAAAATTATCAAGTGTAGTCTAGAAGGGGAACAAAAATAGCAATAATGCAGACCGAGGTGTGCATGGGAGCTGGGAGGGGTAGCCACACCTCCCCCTTGCTGGTGATGTTAGAAGAGGATGTATGAGAATGATGCTGTGAATAATGCAGTGAGTTCATCTCCTTCTCCCCTCAAGTGCATAAGACCCTATAATGTAAATCTTAGATACATAATCATGGAGGCAAAGTGAAGCATATGTAACCTTTAGACAGGTTACAATGTGTGTACTGGACCTGGTTTGCAAAACAGTCAGGGTAGTTCATGACTATGCATGCAGAAGATGCCCACAAAATTGTCTCTGCTCATTAGGAGCTCCTCAAAGCTGTGGACTCTGAAACAAATGGAGCCAAGTACTCACATTTCATTTTAGCATAGCGTTTGCTTTTCTTTCAAGCATACTACAGGGTAGTTTGTCTTTCAAGCACACCCACATCTCCATTATCATTTCAGGATTATCCATCCTACACAGCCTTTGGCCAAAACCAGTATGCACAGTATTACTCAGCATCAACGTACGGAGCATATATGACATCAAATAACACAGCTGACGGCACTTCGTCCTCGACCTCTACCTATCAACTGCAGGAGTCTCTCCCAGGACTGACTAGCCAACCAGGTACAGATCTTCATCCAGGTGAAACACTTTTATTTGTTTTACTGTGTCTAATACGATGGAGAAAATGGACATTTCAAAAACAAGGCTGAAAGCTCCCAGACAGTTCTGCTAACGTTTCATCTGTGCTAGTTCCCCCTGGATAAGATGAGGTTCTTCTTGTGACATTTCAGAAAGCCCTTCTGTTAGATGTGGGGCAGTTAGGAGGTGTTAATCTTAAGTGGCAGTGTACATACGAATATAAAAGGATATAAAATGGTCAGTGGACCTTTTAACAGGCTATTTTGTGAAGAAGACCTTGACCACATAGAAAAGTTGGAATATTATCTTCTTTGGGTATAACTGATAATATGTCCTTTCTGCATGAGAGACTGGATAGTTTCTTCACCTTTGTGCATCATCACTTGTTCTATTCAGTGAATGTTCCTTATATTCCTAGGATTTGTAGGACCATTGCTAGGTAGTCTAATACGATTGTCTGATCAGCACACATTTAAAGTCCATTGTATTTTTTCGTTTTCTGAAGCTTATCTGTATTGGAATTGTATTTGCTGATACATATTTAACAGAGCTGAAGTGTTTAAAGTTAAAAGCAAGTTTAATAGAGATTCATTGTAATCCTAGTTGAAATTACAGCAGGACTTTTTGGAGAAATTATCAAGATGATTCTAAAATTACAAGGAAAGGCAAAGGAACTAAAATAGCCAAAATAATTTTGAAAAATAATAACAAAATTTGAGGGCTTACGTTGCCTGATTTCAAGACTTACTATAAAGTACAGTAATCAAGAATGTGTGGTATTGGCAAAGGGACAAGTACTTGGAGCAATGGAATAGAACAGAGTCCAGAAATAGACCCATATACTGGAAAATGGGTTTTGACAAAGGTGCAAAGGCAACGAGAATGAATAGTTTTTGGGTTTTTCCCCCCAGAAAAATCCTGCTAGAGCAATTGGACATCCGTATGCCACAACAAACAAACAAACAAACAAAACAAACACCAGAATAGTGACCCGTAACTCATACCATACACAGTACATGTAAAAACTGAAACTGAAAATTCTAGAAGCAGACATGGAGGAAATCTGTGTGCCCTTGGGTTATGTAAAGAGTTAAGATATGATATATAATTTTCAGATCTTACCATACCTTCTGTTGAATTTGAAGAAGAAATTGTTTCCATTTGAAACTGTGTTATTCTCTCAACCAAAATCATAACAATACACGTCTGGATTTTTAAAGAATCCTGTGACCTTAGAACTTTAGTCAAGGTAGTTTTAAGTTTGATTTTGCTTTTTAAGATCTGGCATGTATCCAAAAAGTAAATAAGTTTATAACTATGAGATCTTTCTTTATTATTGATGAAATCTGAGGTATTTAGTTTAATGGTAATAAAATTATTTCCCATTAACCTGCATTTTGGAATTAAAGCAGAGATCTAACAATTAAATCTACAATTTTTTTGTAAATCATTCACTGTTGGCTTTCCCCATTTTTTAAACAAAAACATACTTCATGTTCTATAAGAGACAGCTGGTTGTTCTGATTTGGAGATAAACCCTAATGAAATAAAGTTGAATCTAAATATATAAAACATAGAAGGTACAGTTATTCATTACTGTACTGATTAAAGGATAATTATTCAATCATGTGTAGTGTTGGCCCAAGAAAAAGCCTAAGGCAATTGGTAATGACTGGTGTTATTTGGAAATCGCAAATAGCATCCACTTATTACTTTACCTTATTAGGTAGTTTGACAATGTATTTAAAGAAACATTACCATGCTGATTAAGAACAGATATTTTAGTTCATTATCTTATAAAGATCTCTCTTTGCTTTTAACAAAAAGATTATATTAGGTATATTATATTTTTTATTTGTATTCAGACAGTTTGATGACTGATTAGCACATTAAGATTAGAGATATTTTTATAGCTCCTTCTTTCAAAATATTTTAACCATCCTTTAAAATTTGATATAATTAGTAATTTGTAACAATATTACCCTTTACTCTGAGAGCTTGGCAACCATTACAATACATTAGCTAATTAAGCTTTATAAGTGCTTCAGAAAAGTAAGGGATATAGTAAGATCACTTCACTTTTTGAAAAGAAGCCAGTTTCTTAGGCAGAACTCAGTAGACTTTCCACGGCTTCATGGCATTTCACTTAAGGACAGGAAGGAAAGCAAAGTGCTAACTCATTTAATTGAAGCTAACAAGAGAATTTTGGTAGAAAGAGCTGACCACATTTAATGTCTCTGCCAATCTGCATTTTGCCTACCTGCAGCATTAATGTACCCTCGTGCAATTCCCTGAGTGAAATTTGGCAGAGGCACTGGAATTGACAGCTTTCTCCTTTAAAAAAAAAAAAAAAGTGTCAACAAATGTTTAATGACCAGGTGAGCTCAAGTTCCTGGTTTTACCCTTTATCAGAAAAAAGGATAGCACCTTCAAAAGATAGAGGGGTCAGTACAGTTGCACCTGAGTGGCTGCTGTAGGAGCCAGGGTACAGACATGGCCTCTTCAGGACCTGCTCCTCTCGCCATGAAGTTCTTTCAGTGGGTTGCTTGGTCCTCTTCTCACAAATTGTATAAAGTCTATATAACTCTTTTGCTTAGTAGGAACAGATGTAGATTTGACCTTCTGTGACCTGGAGGATCTGTTGCTGTTTAGGAGAGGAAGTATAGCCTAATGGTTAAATCAGGCGTTTTGTAATCATACTAGTATTGCACTTATAAGCTCTTTCATCTTGGTAAATAAAGTCTCCAGTTTTCTTATTATTAAAAGAGGATAATGAGGGACCAAGTTCACTGGGTCAAAGTCATATATATATATATATATATATATATATATATATATATATATACACACACACACACACACAAATATAAAGAATTTTTCACAATAAAGAGCACTGAAAAATCAATAAGGAAAAGATAACCCAATTTTTTTAATGGGCAAAATATGTCAACAGTTATATCATAAAACTAAGATACCACATGGGTAATAAACATATAAAAATGTGCTCTACATCATTACTCATCAAGAAAATGCTAATTACATCAACCATGAGATACCACCAGACCCCCACAATAGCTAATATAACAAACACTAGCAGTATCAAGTATTGGCAGGAATGTGGAGCAACTGGAATTCCCATTGCTAGAAGGAGAGTGAACTCATACAACCATTTTGGAAAGAAAATGGTAATTGTCTACGAAACATGAACATATGCCTTCCCTCTGACCCAGCAGTCTCACGGCTATGTATACATTCCTTAGAAGAACGCAGACGCTTATATCCACAAAGACAAAAGCAAGAATGTTTATAGCAGCTTTATTCATAATTGCTAAAATTATGAATAACCCAAACATCCATCAACGGAATAGATAAATAAAGCATAGTATACATATATAATGAAGTTCTGGCCACACTGAGGAAAGAACAAACAACTGCGCCAGGCTAGAATATGACTCAGTCACACAGACATAATGAGCAATTAATTAAGCATTTAATTAAGCATTTCAATAAACGTTTTTAAAAAGAACACAGAGCATGACACATATTAAGGGTTCCATAAATGTGGAGCTGCTCTTCGTAGTTCTCTGAAAGGCTATGCCTTTACCTCCATCAAAGCACTTCTGTCCATATTTTGTCCAAATTCTTAGAGATCTTTGAAGATGTCTCAGCAACTTGGGAAAAATCCGTGGTATCAGGTCCTACTCTTATTGAAACCCGACCTATGACTGGTCTTTTCCCTTTTTCCTCCTGCTATTTTCACTCCTTGCTGTGATAGCCATTGGCTTCCAGTTCATTTAAATAGATGAGTTGTTCCTGCCAAACTCCTCCTTTATGGGTCCAGTCAATAATCAGCCGCTCAGAATGTCATAGTGACTTTGGAATCTTGCAAGTTTTTGTCCTTTCATCTCTGGCACTGTTTCAAGAGCAAAGCTGCCTTATAATAGTTAACACCTGAAAATTGCCCTATAATCAATAGGAAAATGGGCTGTTTGGAATGTCATTTAAAAAAAATTGTTACCTTATTTAATAAGGGAGGGTTAATTTGAATCAGCATTTGAGTTGAAAGAGAACATTTAATTTGTAGGACATTATAACCTTAGGAAGATTCTGTTTAAAAAAAATAACCAAAAATAGAAAAAAAAATTTTATGTGATATTTTTTAGAAGTTGGTGTGTGTTTGAATACCTAAAGCCTAATTAATGCCTATACAAGTAAGCTGAAAATGGATTTTCTATAACATAGGCCTATATTCAACCTCATAGCTAAGGAACTTTTTATTATGCTATACTCTCACACAACCAACAGCAGAGATTCATGCAATGAATTGTGCTAGTGATGTTTAAAGAGCAAATGATATTTGGAGCACAGATCTTTTTGTTTTGTTTTGTTTCAATGCTGTCCTGACATATACAATGTTTCCCAAAGAAAATGCTATAACCATTATAAATTATTAGAGGTTAACTATGTGAATTTACTATTTATTTAGAACATCTCAGAAGAAAAACATTACCTGAGTATTGTCTAGTTTGTTCAGATTTTATTATTTAGATTGATAACTAACTGCCCTCATAATTATTTAAAATTTTATGAGAAAGCATGATATTCATAACATCTTTATGCTTAGAAATTGTGTAACTTCAGTTTAATACAGTTTGCCATTGGACTCTCATAGAAGTTTTAACTTTATGCATAAGATTTAAATAAAATATAAACCAGATTTATCTCAGTAATTCAAAAAGGTAGCTATAATATTATTACCTGTGCTTTAATATACAAAAAAACTTAGGTTCAGAGCGATTGAGTAAAATGCTTGCAGTCATATGGTAAGCCTGACTCTCGTTACTTGTGAGGTTTTACTGCGCCTCACCGTTGCCCCCATTTGTTTATCTTAACACCCCTCCCACAGACTTGCCACTGCTCAGTGCACCCTACCTCATAAGATGCTTCGCCGCTCACTTTAGACATATCACACTTACAGGTATCTGTGGGACATGTAGACATCTATTAGATGCAAAGAAATCTATTAGAAACTTAGGATGTATCCTGATGGAGGAATAGATTTATGTATGCGTGATCACATACTGGATGATTAACCTATGAGAGGGTTAGATCACCCAGGTGGTGTGACGTGAGAAGGACAGTGATCAAAGGATGGAGCTTTTAAATACCGGCATGTCAGGGAGGGGAGAAGAAAAAGGTCATGTCCCCTAGACAGAGCAGGGCTGGTGAGACGATTCTAGAGCTAGGAGAATGCAGGGTATCAGCTGCCAGATAATGGTTCTGAGGAGGTGCTGTATAAGAGGAGCTCCAGGAAGAGAAGTACTGAGTCTCTCTATTGCATTCACAATTAGGTGATTATCGGGGACTTTGCATAAGAGTAGTTTTAGGGTTTGGTGAACTGAAGCTAGATTATGACAAATCAGATGTCAGGCAGTGGAGACAGATGTGCCGCCCAGGACTGTAGCTGCTGGCCACATGTGGCGATTGAGCACTTGTAGTGTGGCCAGTACAAATTGAGGTCTGCTGTAAGTGTAAGCTACATACAGGACTTAGAATGAAAAAGAGACTATGTAAAACATGCCATTGACCATTTTTATATTGAGAATATGCTGAAATGATAATATTTTGGATAAATTAGGTCAATTAACATATACAAATAAAATCAATTTTACATGTTTCTTTTTAAGTTTTTTTTTTCTTTTTTTAAAAATAAGGCTTCCAGAAAATTTTAAATTATATATGTAATTACATTTGTGGCTTGCATTATATTTCTATTGGACAGCACTGGTATGGACTATTCTTTTAAGAAGTGTCATTTAAAAAGAGAAGATAGCAAGAAGATAGCTTCTAGATGGAAATGCAGTAAAAGGGAAGGACGTTTAATCTTGTCTGTGGCGCCCAGAAAAGGAAGAGGTTGAGGGAAGACGAGAGAGATTTTGACTAATGGAGGGATAGCCCCTAAGAGGTGAGGTGGGGGAGTCAAGTTTGCAGGTGGAGGAAGGCATGAGATTGATTCAGAAGACATTTCATCCTCTGAACTCTGATGTAAGGATGTGAGAACAGATTTAAATTTAGATAAATATGTAGGTGGGGGTAGAAACAGGAAGTCGAAGGCATATGGAGTATAAAAGACAGGTTTAATAGATCACAGAGATTGAAACTAGGAGGGATTTGTGTGACCTACAATATTTTTTACTGCATTAGGATTTTGTGTATTTGAGATTATAAATCTTATTTTATCATAAGGAGCTTTCTGTTATATAAGAATTTGTTAAGATAATTAATAATGAAGACGCATATCTGATCTAAAAATGAAGTGCTATTCTTGACATAAGTTACGTTTTCTTATAGGAGAATTTGATACCGTGCAGAGCCCCTCAACGCCCATCAAAGATCTTGATGAGAGAACATGTAGAAGTTCTGGGTCAAAGTCCCGAGGAAGAGGCCGGAAAAATAATCCCTCCCCACCTCCCGACAGTGACCTGGAGGTGTGCTGACTCATCCTCAAAGAATATAATATGATGTTTTATTTTTATTGAATACATATTCTATACTTACAGTTCCATAAAGTTTCAAACTTACATATATATGCTGGAGGTGTCAAAAAAATGTATACAAGTGGACACAGGTCAATGTTGCTCAACTCAAACAGAAGTTTGCCATAATCAGTAGTGTCCGGACACTGATGGTAACCATTTTGGGCACCTCTTGTAATTGCAGAAGTCAAATGTGACTTGTGTTCATCTTTTGTTATCAGTATATATTGAGTGTTACAATTTTAATAGTTTTTTCCTTTCTTAAAATGTGTATACATTTTTTTACACCGTGTGTGTGTGTGTGTGTGTGTGTGTGTGTATATAATGAAATGAGTGGATCTACTTTGTAGTAGACATGTCACAGCTGCAAAGTTTGAGATTTCATCCATTACAATGTCCAAATTAAAAACAATATAACATAAAAATGATAATGGTTTATAAATTCTAGGACTGCGATAAATGCATCTTTTGATTCAAATTGGCTCAAACAGAAATTTTAAAAATACAGCCATTATTTGTGGGATAATTTTCTGAGACATTCTCCATTTGGTAGTACTAAGGTAATGAGAGATGTTTATATGGGTCAATTAATTTAAAAACATAAGATTAATCTGTATATAAAGGAAAAGTTGTCTCCTGAAAATAGGAAAATTTCCATTAATTTGATACATGTGTTAAACCTTTTATAACTAAACATTTCCATGTGCCATTTTTTTTAATTGAAAGTACTTTTGAGATATATTTATATAAACAGGTTGATTTTTTTACAAAGCATCAGGAGAAACTATTCTTAACCATAATATGTTTCTTCTTACACAACTCCATACTTCAATTAAGAAAAAAATACCATTAGGGGTAGGCGGTTAGCTCAGGTGGTTAGAGCACAAGCTCTTAACACCAAGATTGCCGTCTCGATTCCCACATGGGCCAGTGAGCTGAGCCCTCCACAACTAGATTGAAAACAACAACTTGACTTGGAGCTGACTTGGGTCCTGGAAAAAACACACTGTTCCCCAATAAGTTAAAAAAAATACGTTAAATTTCAGATTTAGTAGTCAAGTAATAGTCATTGCACCTCTTCATAAGAGATCATTTCCTTTACCTGAAAAACAGTAACATATTCAAATGACTTCAAGAACCCAGCAGGTGACAATAAATGTGTGAACTTGGCTAGGGAGCCAGCAGGCTTGTGGGGACCAGGGAGCTCTGGCTCAGTCAAACATGGCCCGCCCATCACTGCCCCACGGAATGTCAGTCAGCATTGCCACAATTTTCAGTTTCTCTTCTGCAGTCAGAGCCCTGAAGTTTGTTTGAAATCTCCTAATCTTGAAAAGCTGGTCAATAATTTGAAGTCTTTCAAAACACTGGGCAGGCCCAAAACCCATCTGATGGCCTAAGCTGACCCAAGGGTCCACATTGCAATTTCTATTTAGGGTTACTTATTGAGTCTTTTAAATATTTTTTTAAAAAATAATTCCTTCCATGAATTGAAAAATTTCATGAACTCATGAGGCATAAAACTTTAAAATAGAGTTTCAAGCTCACGTCTATTGTCAATTCAAAATATGTCTTTTTGGGTATTAACTGCAAGTAAATATTTGGATAAATTCTTTCAAATGAAGACATCTGATTGTTAAGCTTATCACTTGTACCACTCTTGCTCAGGTTTTACAGGGGTTGGATCTGGCAAATTTTGGGGAAAAAAATAGTGGAGTTGCATAGTTTTCTATAAAATGGTATCAGCAAAGTGACGTGTTTTCTACTTGTAAAGAGATGCCTGCTTCCTTAGAACTTGACAATTCTTTGATATTTATCTTTTTCTTCAGCGTGTGTTTGTCTGGGACTTGGATGAAACCATCATTGTTTTCCACTCACTGCTCACAGGTTCTTATGCCCAGAAGTATGGCAAGGTAAGCAGTCAAGAAGTTTTTCCCCAAGAAATCATGTTAGAATTTTGTTCAAAAAATCAAGAGCCATTTAAAAATACATTTACATGTTTTTATTGTAGTGTGTCACATCTGCTCTTAATTATTTCTTTTCAGTAACCCATTGTTGTTGTTGTTTTTTTTAATGTGAACTGGCACATTTTACACAACAAATTAGTAATTGGATTCCTTTTTCTTTCCTCTTAATGACTGAGTTTTCCACATTGAAACCAAGCTTATTACTCTGACATAATTATTTTAGGAAAAATGTTTGTGAATTGAAATAGACCTTAAGCATCGTAAAATTATATGTCATCTAAAGGGGAGCTTTAAGAAATCGCTTGAATTAATTTGTTGCACCAAATCTTGCTATAGAATGCCATTTGAAGTCAGTCACCTTTTACCTGATGGGTCCTTTGGATTTATGAATAAAAGCGTTTTTGTAACTGAATAAGCACATGAACAGCGACCGCCTCACACACCCACAAATTCAGAGACAGGTGGTCTCTTGACTCTTCTTCCTTTCCCTCTTACCATCGTTTTCCTAGTGCGCTAGCTTCTTATAACAATGCTGTTATCCACCTGTGTGAGTGCTATTTCAAAGACTGATGCAAGTGCAACAGGCTTTTCAGCTACAAACACAGTTGTTTAGGTCGTTCCTGTTCGAGTCTTCGTCTCTGTACAGCTCATAATCTAACCAGAATTAATTCAAAGCATGGCAGCCTGCCTTCAATTACTGGATTCAAAGTTTTATCTAACTTTGGTTCCTTTACATATCACACGTACAGAAGTTTTTATAGTGTCACATAATTTAATAGGGTCTCATGTCGGCTCAACATGCAGTTTTTAGCAATTTTGTTAAGCTTTGTATTCTAGACTGGTATTAATGAATTGCACTCATATATTTTCTCCACGTTGTACTCTTGGTGAATCTGCATTGCCTTTGATTTTTAACGTAGGTAGCGAATGTTGCTAAACAGGTATGAAAGGTAACAGTTTTCTTTAATGACCACTACGAAGGAGTCTTAGTCCCTTTATCACAGTCATCATCATCTAAAACAGTGGTATTCAAAGCAGAATGCATGCGTATGTGCCATGTATACACAAGACGCTGCACTGAGAGAAGGAAAAAAAATATTAGTGGGTGCCTATACATGCACGCACGCACAGGTATCTTGCAGCTTCTGTTGTTGTCTGTTTCATAATGGACATACTTTACAAGTACATGCCCATGATTATAATTTAAAGACTATGTATACAAGTCATAAGTAAATTAACTATACATACATTTGGTGTGCATGCCAAAATTCTATTACTGATAGAGTATACGATCTAAAAAGTTTCCAGACCATAATCTAAAGCATTTCTTCTGGAATAATTCTGGCTTATGAGGAATACACAGTAAAACCTGTTGAATTGCTTGCAGTATTTTTGTGCAGCTAAGTTTCATATGAGGTACATGTAATCTAACTGGAACGCATAAATTCAAATAATGCTCCATTCAAAACAGTCACCATGAGAATCTATACCTAAATATCTATGTTGCTTCCATTATGCCAAATCAGTGGTGGAACTAATCTTTTGGAATTATCTCTAGATTTTTTAAATATTTCCAGACTTCAAACCTTCCTTCTTTTGTGGTAATTGTGATCTTTAGAAATGGTGAGATCCTTTGGACCCAAGGCAATAAATAAGGAAGGAGCATGGTCAAAATATTACCATTTTTCTTTTTGTCAAAAATATCATAAACTTGCTTCCACCCCAGAACCAAGCATGAACTGTCGTTTGGGATAAGAAGGGGTGTCAATAAAGAGGCAAGGAGGGGTGACGAACCATAAAAAAAAATCTGTGCATAATGAAGCTGCTTGTCTTGAGTGACCCTTCAACTGACTCTTAAGCATAATTCCAAAAGCCACGTTCTCACACGTCCCTCACCAGGGGTGCATCAGTGAAATAAACCTCTCACCTCCCCAAATGGCAGCCTGGACAGGCATCATTCATTTCACATAAAGTCCCATTATTTTAAAGTATTGTCACAAAGCTTTGTTTGAATACAGAAGAGAAACATTTTCTGTGCTTACAGATGCTTAAAATAGCAGAGCTTACTGACAGGGTGGGGCACACTGAGGGGAAGAGAGGAGCTAATGTTTATTTAATGCCCATGATGTGCCACATAATAAGCGTCACAATTTTAAGGGGTCAGTCGTTCTCCCCAATCTACAGAAGAGGAAACGTACTCAGAGAGTGAATAAAATATATGCAAAAATCACACAGCTAGTTAGTGGCAGACGTGAGTCCTGGAGCCTTGGACTATTTGACCCCAAAGCCCGAGTCATTTCTGCTACAGCACATCACCCAGTATATAGACAACCTACCATGAACACAATATCTAAATGACTTTTCCTAAAAGGAGGGAAGATAATTAGTGAGGTACTATGTAGGCAATTATATGAGTTCTCCTTTAAGTTGGAATAATTCAAAATCTCTCAGATGATTGGGGTATTTCCATTAACAGCTAAAACTTAAGAAATTTGGGGTGAAATAAAGTATGGCAGACAGATATCAGTACCTCATGATGATGCAGCATAGGAGAAGCAGCAACTTTTGGAAGTTGCTATTGGAACTTTACTACTATTGGAAGGTGTGGGGAAGAAACACGTACATTCACAGAACACCTACCATGTGGTAGAGCCTGTGTTTGGCATTTCACAAGCAATTGGGATGGTGGTTAAGGACAGAACCTCTAAGTCAGGTGAATGTAACTTTGAAAACCCAATGATCATGTGTACATCTTTTTAACCTAGGGAAAATTACTTAATTCCTCAGCCTTAATTTCTGTAAAATCAGAACAGTACTATCTGTAGTGAGTAAGAATTAAAGAGAGAGCATGTTTAAAGGACCCAGTAGAACCCTTGCAGTGAATTAACACTCAAAAAATTGTAACTGATATTATTCACTTTCACAAATGTTATCCCACTTAATTATCATTATCTGCTGTAATGTATGGTGATCTAAATTCTATGGGTAAGGAAACCCGGATTATGATGGTTTAAGAAACTTGGCCAAGGTCACAAAATGATAAATGCTGCTACATACATAGGAAACCAGTCAGTCTCATAGCAAGTCCTTGTCCTTTATACTATTCTGTGCCATCAAAAGGCTTGATGGAATGAATTGTCGATGTAAGAAACATCCAAACCTGTAGGCAGGGGGCTGCATCAGGCAGGGTACCTGGGGTAAGGAATTTAGGATTCATTCTAGGTGCAATGGCAGCTGCTGAAGGGTTTTAGGCTGAGTTGGGACATGGTATATAATTGGCTTCTATTTGGAGAATAAAGGTTGGAGGAACAAGGATAGACACAAGTAGACCATTTAGGCGGCTGCTATGCAGTATGTCAGAAGTGGTAGTGACTTAGACCGCAACAGTGCTTCTTGCACTTTAGTGTGAGTCACAGTAACCTGAAGGGCTTGTTAGACACTGCTGGCTGGGTCTCACCCCCAGAATTTCTGATTTTGTAGGTTTGGGGTGGGGCCCGAGATTTTGCATGTGGAATACACTTGCAATAAAGCTGATGCTTTGAGAACCACTAGAACAGAGAATTTCCGCAACATTTTTTCTTGGGAAAATGAGCTCTGGGATTAATTGATAGTCTTTGTGGAAAGGCCCGAAGCCAAATGGATTTGAGAAATAGTTGCATTTTATGGCTTTTCAGTGCATGTTACCATATTAAAGGTCCTGATATGTTTTACAGTTAAGAATCCTTTGGAACCATGTTTAATTCCTCAGTTCCCTAGTGTCTTCAGCAATGACCTTGAGAACTGACTAAAATGAGGTAGTTCTGGTAATTAGTTGACAATTCAGATGGACTTTACGCTGCTAGTAGCAAAAGTGACCTGGGCCATTATTTCTGGAGGGAAAACAGAAGACCTTTATACAGCTTAAAGGTTGTCTAAGCTTGAAATTGTTAATGTCTTAAATCCTTTTTATTTCTTAGATCAGTCTTACTTCCTTCCACAATGTGCATTTTTAGAGCATATTTTTTTTTGTATAACAGTGATTTTTCAGGTTTTTTTTTAGCAAGAGAAACCTTTATGCACATATTATATCACACCGATCATCTTTATATAAAACATATAAGGGCAGACCTGCTCTAGGTGAAATGTGGAGGTAAGGGACTGGTGGAGAACCCGTTTCTCTCATGTAGCCAATGCCCCCATTGGTCTAGTCACCCCAAAAGGGTTTCCTGAGTCCTGAGGATGCTCAGAACACAGTCTATAAGGCAGTAATCCAGCTGAAGGAGCACCAAGCTAGAAGTGAGAAAGAAGTCCTGGGACTGAATGGGCCTGAAGCAAGCCATTTAACCTCTGAGCCTGTTTCCTCATCTGAAAATGGTTATGACCCATTTCCTTCCTGGGCTTACTGGATGGATCAAATGAGATAATGTTAATTTATAAAAGTAGCAAACAGCTCTGAAAACTATCATCCACATCCCAGACTACAGAAATGTAAGTAGAAATATACATTATTTACCCCAAATGAGAACTGACTAAAGGCATATGTTTTCAGACATGCAGAAAGTCAGTGTTTACATGAAGTAGTACTGCAGTGGCCTGAAACAGAGAGAGCTGCTAAGGGAAAATATAAGCACCAGAGGTGTAAAATCATATCCTTCCATGACCACACCTACCTACCTACCTACCTACCTGTCTCTCCCCCTACCCATAAATAAAATAATAATAAGTACCATATTTGAGCTCCTACTGTGTGTCTGGTGTCGTGTTAAATGCACTAGCTTTCACCCAGTGTGACTGATTCTGTGTCACACAGCTCGCAAGTGGCATAGCCAACCAGAACCCCTATCTCTTTGACACACTTTTAATCTCTACACTCTTTTGGTCTCAAACTTTGCCCCACTATCTATAAAATAAAATTCATGGAACATAATAATTTAGGAATGCCATTTTACTCATAAATTCCCCAGTGA